TTTTAAATTTTTTTTATATGTAAAATAATAGAAACCCTTCATTATTCACATTTCACAAATATTTTATTGTAGTCCAGGTTCCAAAACAGGTTCCAAACAAGTTCCAAAGCATGTTCCAAACAGGTTCCAAGACAAATGAGAACAAATTATTTAACCAAATACCTCAAAAATTTCCAAATCCGCAAGGGTCTGGAACCGCCAGCCTAATAATGTTTGAAGAGTCAATGTTAACATCCGACTCTCCATTCTTATCTTTGCTATTGTAGGATGGATGCGATTGCCGATATACTGCCTATTTCTTCTAAGTAACAATATAAATGTAAAGTTGTCAATTTTGTCCCGAGTTCGAGTTACTCCAGCCATTATAGAGTTTCAAACAAGTAATACAAAGAGTTTGAAAGAAAGAGAGTTTAAGACAAGAGATCTAGAGAGTTTGAAAAAAGAGATGTGAGAGTGTATTATAAATTTACCTGTTGCTTTCCCATCTTTATTAAGTTCTACCTGTCTCGATTATAAAGTATCTCACCTTTGACTTTCCCTTCGCTTTCCTTTTGATCCCCACCTGACATCAAATTTTCGTAGCTGTCAAGCTAAGAGAATCGTCAGAAGAAGCCCCGTCAGACCAAACCTACAATAAAACTACTTCATCATGCCCAAATGACTAGTCTTTATGCAGAGCAAGTACATCTGATTCATCGAGTAAGATGAGTGAAAAGGTAGCTGAAGCAGTTACTGTTTACTTCTTTTTAAATCTGTTTTTTGAATTTTTACTTGTTATAGATTGTGCTCGGCCTCAGCCCGTTGTGAACAACTATTAGGTTTTCACAAAGATAACAAGGGCCTCAGATCTCGAGGTTATCCCATGTATTAGATTCAGTATATATCCCTCACGCCTTATTATGTATAAGTCCAGATCTAGTTGTTAGCGACGGCCAAAGTATAATTAAGTAATGTTATAAAATTATAATTAATTAAGTAATCATTTAACTATAATGTAATGTTATAATTGATTAAGTTAAATATAATCATTTAACTATAATGTAATGTTATAATTGATTAAGTATGATATTTAACTAGTAATTAAATTTATTAATGTTTATCAATTTATCATATATAATTAATTAATTACTAATTTATTATAGATATACTTAGAACTTGATAATTGAAGTAAATAACTAAATATATTATTACTCAATCAAATATACTATTTAATTCAAAAATAATTATTTTAATAACATTAAAAATGTAAAACACTTTTAATTGGATCATAATTTCAATTATTCACTTAATTAATCAAAACTTTAATATTAATGTATTATAAATATATTAGAGCTTTTAATATGGTGTAATTTATATGTAATAAGTATAATTGTATTCGTATATTTGTTTAATTAGGTTATTCTAAAAATTTAACTTTTTCTATTTTAAATTTTTTTATATGTGAAATAATAGAAACCCTTCATTATTCACATTTCACAAATATTTCATTGTAGTCCAGGTTCCAAAACAGATTCCAAACAAGTTCCAAAACAATTCCAAACAGGTTCCGAAACAGGTTCCAAAACTGACAGTGGTTGCTGGAATTTGGCAACTATGGGTGGGTGAGGTTGTTTTTTTTTAATTTTTAAACTTTTTTTTCTGGGGGGTGTTTAATTAAGTTAGTAAACTTAAGGGGACTAAAAGTAATTAAAAAAATTAATAGTGTTTCTCAAATAATTAATCAAACAAGCCCTTAATTATTTATATCTCGTAATCATCTAAAGGACATTTAGTAAAATGTAATCAAAACATCTGCTATTACAGCCAACCAAACAGATTAATTAGTAATACAAGTAATCATCCCAAGGGCATTCTAGTAAAAAGGTATTTTAGGACATCTGTTATTACTATCAACCAAACACATTAATTATTAATACATCTCAATTGAATGAAGCACAATAATAATTTAAACCCGGTAATCTAAAATGTAATCTTTCTTTTCGGTAATCTTATTACTAAGATAAAAAAACATTATATGATCCAAACACCCCCGAAATGTTTAGGGAAATGTGTTTGATTGGTTGGAATAAATTGGTGGGTATGTTATATTAATATGTTTGGTTAGAGAGAATACATTGGTGAGTATATTATTTAAATTACTGAATTTTCCTTTAATTAAATATCATTATATAATATTATTATTTAGATTATTTATAGCTCCCCTACAATTAAAAACTTAGCAAAAACAACTCCATAATAAAAGTTTGAAAAATCAACAGTGCACCCCCACCAACCCAGCCATTGTCAGCCATTAACAACCACCGCTGGCTGCTAGCAACCAAACAGTGCACAGAAGGCCGAAAATGGCCTCCGTGCGTCGATATGGCCATTATTGGCCAGAGATCTGGCCGAAAATGGCCAAATGGTGATAAATCTGGCTGAAAAACGACCAGATCTAATGTAGTCATTTTTTGCCAGATCAATAGATCCATTGATCTGGTCGTTGGCTGTTAATGGCCACGATGCTAGCTGCCGATGGCCGGCGGTGGTTGCCGGCAACTAGTAGCAGCAGGTGGGTGGGGGTGGCCGCTTGGGTGGGCTGCAATTTGTTTTGAATTCAAGGGTAATTTTGTCTAAAAAGTTAATTAATTAGGGTAAAATTATGAAAGTCAGATTCATGTAAATTGATTTTAAAACAAGGGCATTATTGTTAAAAAAATTTATTAATAAGGAATAAAATTGTAACAAAAATATGATAACCAATTAATCTTACAATACCTAAGAAAATAGAGGTAATCAGATTACCTTCAATATTACCGACAGTAACTACTATTGGTATTGGCAGATTACCAAAATCTTATATTACTTGACAACCAAACGTGGTAATAAAGTAATATAAGATGTCATAAACTTAGTAATCCTATATAACACCCAACCAAATGCCCCCTAAAAGTTTTGTTTTTTAAGCTTCGAATATTTCTAATTTTGAAACATTTTACTATTGTTAGAAGTTGTATTTGTCCCATATCGTTAATTTAGTAGATTGTTATAGTGGAGATATGTGGTTAAGTTTCCTTCTCTTTTGAGTTAGCCTTTGAAAAGTGAGTTCTACCCTATACCATTGATGATGAGTTTGTTGTTTGAAGGGCGATGATGGGTTTGGACCCTAGTCCCACATTGTATAAGTTTTTGTTATTGAAGTTGTGTTTGTCTCACATCATCAATTTGGTAGGTTGTTAATGAAATTGTATTTGTATTGGTAGGTTGTTATGGTTATCGAAGTTGTATTTATCCCACATCGCTAATTTTGGAAGGTTGTTATCAAAGTTGTATTTGTCCTACATTGCCAATTTAGTAATTTGTACTCAAAGTCGTATTTGTGTTGTATTTTCCCATATCGCAAATTTGTAGATTGTTATCGAAGTTGTATTTCTATTGGTAGGTTGCTATGGTGGGAAGGAATTAGTTTTACCCAAACCTATTTATCAACTATCAATTTCAAATAGTTTAAATGGGATGAATAAGCTCTACCCAAGCCTATTTATTGCAAAAGAGAAATGCTATCTCCACTCGGACCAAGATATAACTTTTACTTGTTCAAATAATAATTAAGTTCGGACCAAGACATAACTTTCACTTGTTCAAATAACAATTAAAGTGAAACAGGATCAGGAATAACGAATCTCTTTATGATAAACAAATCTATTTTGCAAATTCGTTATTACGGATAGTTCCTACAAAGGATCGGACTAGTGGCATATATACGAGTGCAATAGGAGCATCCATCAATAAAAGGATCACCCTAAGATGATCATCTTATGGCTATCGAGAACTAATCAAGTTCAAATGTTCAATATTCTCTTTCTTTTGTTTAGTCCCATCACTTGTTTAATTCAAATTGGAGAATGAGAATACAAAAGTAATTTAAACTTAATTATGATTCCCAACAGTTAAATAAAGATGGATAAAATATACAAAAATAGAAAATGCATCCAGCTAGCAATTAGCTAGGAACGGGAGAAAGAATAATATTATATTAATAACTCTATTTCAAAAGCTATCTCTCACAACTCTAACGTGACACCTCGCAATTGGTCAGTTTATAACGAGTTTCACATGAGTTTTGCATGGATCCTACTAATTAATTGTAAGCTATCATGTCAGGGTTATAAGAGAAAATTTATGATAAAAGGTTATTTGTGTAATATTACTGTTATGAGAAAATAGCGATAGGTCATTTTTCCGAAGTTCTTTTCCATATTTAAAATTATTTCAAGTAACATATTAGAGAAATAATATATACTATTTCAAGTAACAATTAGGAATGTCAATATATTTTAGTTAAACTTTTCCAATAGAAAGAAAACACTGTGGTGGCGGCGTCTTAATTTATAATTACTTCAATCAATATCAACTATTAATTCTAATCCAATATTAAAATTAATAAATCATTAAGTGGTAACACGTGGATTGCTAACCACGTGAATCCACCTAGAATTTCTTATGTATCTTGCCTGCCAATAATGTCAGACATATAAAGAATTTTTAAAAAGATTTTTATAAAAAGTAACGTGACGAAAATGGATAAAAAAATAAATATAAAAAATGGAACTCAATCTATTATTTTTTTTTTTTTCATAACAAAGGATGTTCAGATCAATTTATACTCATCTCAACTAATCTCTTCAGATCTTAAAATTATTGACTAAATAAAAGCTCTGTGACTATCTCTAATAACAATGAAAGAGAGATTTAATCTTAAGATCTCTTAATAAATATGTCTAAAAATTCTTATCAAAATACTCAATTATCCAAAAATAATTATTCTATTTATTTTTTATTATATCACTTTACATAAAAATATTATTAGACGTATTATTACTTTTTTTACTATAATATTTAACGTAAAACACATTTTCATGAAATGCATGTTTAAAATCGAGCGACTCTTTCTTCTTCTCTCTATATAAGTCCAGTCATCTCCTCCATTTTAGCCCACAGTTTTCACAAACAGAGAGAACATGGGTTCGGATGATCGTCATGTAGTTGAAGATTGCTTTGGCCATCTCATTCTTTACAGCGATGGCTCCATTTCACGCACTAAAGAAATTGAATTCAAAACTCCTCTACTCGACCATGAACAAATCATTCACAAAGACTTCCTCTTCAGTGAACAACACAATCTCCATCTTCGTCTATACAAACCCAAATCAAATCCTTCATCGACAAAAAAACTCCCGATTCTTTACCATCTCCATGGCGGCGGCTTTTGCTTCGGCTCTCTCACGTATCCCCACCACCAGAATATCTGCGTCCGCCTCGCCAACGGGCTTCAAGCCCTCGTCATCGAGCCGGACCACCGTCTGGCTCCGGAGGATAGGCTTACGGCGGCGTTGGACGATGCGACTTCTGCTTTGAAATGGCTTCAAGATAAAGCCATGCATGATGGTGATGATGGAAATATGGGGACGTGGTTAGATGGGGTTGACTTCGATAGGGTTTTTGTATTGGGTTACTCGTCTAGTGGCAACCTGGCGCACCATTTGGCGGTGAGGTTCGGCGGTGGTGGCGCGGCTGAGCTCGCGCCGGTTAGGGTTCGAGGTTATGTGTTGTTATCTCCATTTTTCGGTGGATTAAAGAGGACGAGGTGCGAGGAAGAGAGGCCTTTTGAAGGATTTTGGAACTTGGAGATGTATGATAGGTACGAAAATTAATTATAAAGTTATTACATAATTAACCTGAAAATTGAAAAAATTAGCAAGAGTGTAGACCTTTATACATGGGAGGAATCCTGCAGTCTTCAATGTTAGAAGACAAATTGAGTAATTTAATATAAATCTAGAATAATTTAGTGAGCAGGATGGTAACCAATCTAATATACATACATTAACATATATAAACCCTTTCAAAACATAAAAATTCAACAAAATTAATGGAATTTTTAGGAGGTCACTAACCCCCACTCGCCCCCTAGGTCTATCCCTAATTAAATAGGATAATTGAGTGAATGTTAATTACTGTAGCAGATCCAGAAATTTCTGTTAAAGTAGGTCAAAATAAAGACTAATTGCACATTAATATTTTTGTCCATTAATATTTTTGTTAGGGTGGGCCAAAATCCATAAATTATATGTATTAGTATTTAGAAAGAAAAAAAATCATGGCCCACCCAAAACTAGATTGGATCCGCCCCTGGTTAGTTAGCTTATGGAAGATGATTCGAGAAAAGTTATAAAAGTAATTAGAATATGGTTTAAAGATAATAAGTTCTTAATTTTTTTTTAATCGAGTTTTGATCCTCGAGATTCACTAAACATCCTACAAGTGCAATAGATCAAGTAAATCATAAATTTGATATGTGACCACTGTGGAAACTCGAAAATAAAATCTCTGAGTAATCTACCCAGATGACTAAAATCTTACATCTGATCATTAGTGTTATTGAAAAATATTAAATTTTCTTGTGCCTTATATATATATATATATATATATTGTTTGCATATAATTAGTAGAATAAAATTATTGCGTGTCAAAGATGATTCGCATTTTAATATTATTTAACCTTTTCTTTTGATAAAGACAACAATCTTTATTCTGTGCATAACTTGCCAGGCCTATTGATCAAATAGTTAATTAATGCTAGTCAAGTTGACCTTATCATTAACAGGTTTTGGAGGTTATCGGTTCCAATTGGAGCTACTCAAGACCATCCCATGGTGAACCCATTTGGCCCTTCTAGCCCTAGCCTTGCAGAGGTGGCCCTTGATCCAATCCTGGTCATTGTTGGTGCAGACGAGATTTTGAGAGATAGAGTGAAGGATTACTCGACAAAACTCGAAGAGCTTGGAACGAATATAGAGTATTTAGAGCTTGAAGGAGAGCAACATGGTTACTTCACCGATCATCCAACTTCAGCCACGGCTGATAGAGTGATAGAAACCGTCAAATTCTTATGTCCGACAAGTGACAAGCACGATCCAATTAGACACTACAACACTGTATAATTAATACTCTTGTTTATTCTAAAAAGATGCATCTACTTAACATATCAGTTATATAATCTATTAGAGCAGACGACATTTTCCATCTTAAGGTTTAGCAAACTCTCAAGTTGATACACTTACTTGCATTTATTTTAGATTTTTATCATTAAAGTAACATATTCCCAACTTTTTACTGTAGCATGACACACGTTAGCAATGTGTGATGTTTTCTTTGGTAGAATACTGGCTTATGTTACTAAATAGTAGGTCACATTAATTAGCAGCATCCAAGCTAACAGTTTTTGGCTTTTTTTCAGCTGATTTCATTGTCCAAAATCATTTCTGAGACTATTATTGGACTCCTCATAACCTCCTTTACAAAATCTATACCTTCACTTGACGACATCACTCACTATTTCCAACCACCTCCAACAATCACTAACAGTGTTAGTTTAAGGGTGAAAATTAGAATAAATACAAATAGAGATATCAACTTAAGATTTTACTAAACCTCGGGTGGGAATATGCCGTTTGCTCAATCTATTATTATGCATGAAAATCAAAAGAGTAAAGACACTGTGCACATGTGTTTTGATCACTGTAGAAAATTGAAAACAGATTAAGCATGAAAGCCCTTTTGTCTTTTGAGAAGAATTTAAAGAATTTGGTAATAATGTTAATGATCTTAGTCATTGTCGTTTTATGAAACTAGTATCATCAGCTGGGATCGATGAGTCGGGACAAGACAAAGACAAAGACAAAGACAACCGAGACAATTAAAGCCATATTCTTCATTAATTAGTTCCAATAAATAAAATTTAATGTTCTCTGCAAATCTGTGTCCCTTCTTCTTTTATGGTTGGGAGTGTTTTATCATATTACACGATAAATCTGGTGGGGCTGCATGCCTGCATCCAACATTCCAAGATTTGAGTCATGTAATTTCTCTATAACCATTGTTAATTAGCTGCCTATTTCAAACCACAAAACTTTGCAGTTTTGAAGCTCTCTATCAATCTATCTTTCTCAGCATGGCTATCAGCTTAAGTTTCATTTTCGGGATCTTAGGTAAATAATAAATATATATAAACCAATTTAATTATATACCCGTTTAAATTGATGCAAAAAATGAATAATATTTTTCATTTGATCATCTGTTTCTGCAGGCAACATAACCACCGGCCTGGTTTACCTTTCTCCTGCGTAAGTGTTCATATATATAAGTATAGTCTCTGATTTCTGAATAGTTCTAAGGCCTTGATGTTATATATATGTGTGTGTACGTATTTCAGGAAAACGTTTTGGCATATAGTGGAGAGAAGATCAACCGAGTTGTTTGAGAGCCTTCCATACGTATGCAAATTGTTAAACGCATACTGTTGGGTTTGGTATGGAATTGTGAAGCCTAACAGTGTGCTTGTGGCCACTGTCAATGGATTTGGAGGGGTCTTGGAGATCATTTATGTCACCATATTTCTAATATTTGCTTCTCCAAGAATGAGGGTGCGTTGATTCAATTAATTTCATTGTTTAATAAAGAAGTATGTAGCTAATTAACGTGTTAAAATGATGTAATTTCAGGATCAAACTGCCATACTAGCTGGAGTTTTAGATGTGGCGTTTCCTGCTGCTGCAGTGTTAATTACTCAGTTGATGTTCGATAGAGAAGTGCAAATCAAGGTTTCAGGGTTCTTGTCAGTGGTCTTTAGCATGGCCACTTACGGTTCACCTCTTTCAGCCATGGTAAGAAAATTTTATACATAATCGTTGAGAAATCCTGATCAATAGATGTAAATTATCGAATTAATTGAAGTACAGAAAACAGTGGTGGTGACTAAGAGTGTGGAGTACATGCCTTTTCTTCTCTCATTTATCCTCTTCATTAATGGAGCGGTTTGGACTGTCTATGCCGTGATCACGAAAGATCTTTTCATTGGAGTAAGGTCCCATTAATGTTCATAATTATATATGGTGAATTTATCCTACAAAAGTTTTTTGCAATATGGCTTAATTTGATCAATAAATCTCTTGTACAGATTCCAAATGGGACTGGATTTGTTCTTGGCACAGCTCAGTTGATTCTCTATGCAATATACTGGAAACCGAAGTCATCCAAGAGAAATTCATCCAACGATTTGGAAGATGGATGGCAGCAGGAGCCACTCATTTCCACTGATAATCAAGCTACAAAGAGCCAAGACGAATAAAAGCCACTGAAAACAAGTATTAGTTAATTAACTTCATCGGTATCTGAGAGATCAACTATAAACCCTGATTTACGACTTGTATCGCTTTATATTTTGTTGTTTTTCATCTCATCCTGTCCGTTCATGCACTCGTATAAAAGAGTGAAGTGGGGTATATATGTATCTTTCAATATTGGAGGAATAATTTAAACGAAATAGAGACAAACAACAAGAACAAAGTAACACTAAAACAAATCACATATAGTAAATAAAGAGAAAATAACATGTGCGATTTATCCTGATTCATTCAATATGGGCTACGTCCAGCTGAGTCAATATTATTATAATATTTCCTCAACTCTCTCGTTTATAATCAATGAATTACTTTATGATTGCTATTATACTCATAACAAGAGAAAAATATGTTTATATACAAGATTTAAAGTGACAAAACCTAGTTTTATAAGGATTCTTATTTCTAAGTTCAAACTCAATAAGAAATTAATGGTTTAAAGAAATCTTACAACAGTTATACATGGAAAAGGATCAAACTGCCTACGGGCCCGAGGGTATTACCCCCATGACCCCCGTCCGTTCATCGGAGAGATGCTGACCAAGCAATAGGACCCCTAATACGCCTGCATAACCCATTAAATCTGAAGTAATCGACAACTCCAGCATAATTGATGTGAGAATTTACCTGTCAACTGCTTTGCTAATAGTCTGCGCATGCATGGAGACTTGTAGATGAGAGCAGCAACAATTAATACGATTTCAACTATCAGTCAAATGTGGTCACTAAAATTTAATACAATATTGCTCACCGATTAGTCTTCCCATTGGGTTTGACAGGCAGGTAGGAAATATTATAACGACAGTCGGAATGTTAGCTAATAACTACTGTTGATGATAGTTAAATTATGAAATCTTGATTCATTCTATACTATTTAAGATTCTAATATAGCAATAATATCAATTTGATAACATTAATTATCATTTTCAATATCTTAGTAATATCAATATGTATTTTAACCTAGAGTTCGTCCTAAGGTAGGACGGTCATTTTTGTTCTAGTCTTCTTATACATTCTCTTTCTATCTATGTATACTTACTTAACTAAAAAAAAAAAAAAAAAAAAAAAAAAAAAAACAACGCGTGTATCTTAATTTTAGAGAAATGACACAAGAAGTTATAGGGTTCAGATTTTACACTTAGGACTTGAGTAAGGCTATAAAATTGGGAGCAATAGGACTGTGAGTTAATGTGATAAAATATTTGTTCTCTTAAATTTGTATGTATAACATTATCCATATTTTATGCTCAAATGTGTACATTAATAAGCATGGTTTAAACCATTCTGTTGGTGCTTTTTAGATATATTTCGGCTATGTATGTTGTGTATGTTAAATGAATTTGTAGCTTTGATTGTTCTCTCTACGTCTTCCATATAGTTATATATAGGGGTATTCGGTTCTAGGTACCCTGCATTTTTTGAAGGAACCGAAATTCAAGGTTCCTTGAAATTTGGAATCGGAACCTATAACAACGGTTCCGGTTTTGTTCTGGGTACCCTAAAAAATTCAAGGACCCCCAAAAGTTTTTAAAATGACAAAAAACCCTTAAAAACTTACAAATACCCCCTGGCACTTGTTAACAAAAATAAAATTATAAATTATAAATTACAAATTCCATTACTTTGTAAAGATAGATTCTCCAAAGTCAAACCAACTTACTTTATAAAATATAAATATAAATGTATTCATATTACTTTTTCTACAAAAGTTTTTATTAACCCCCAACTCTTTAATTTTATTTTATATTAGTCTTGGTTCCCGGTTCCGGTTCTTATAGTTCGGAACCGGAAGCGAAACCAGAACCGAAACTGTATAGTAACGATTCCAAAAATTTGGAATCAGAACATACCCGTTGACGGCCAGTTCCGGATAGGAATCGGAACCAAACCCCGGGTACTCAGCAATTTCGGTTTCAATCGGTTCTTTTGAACACCCCTATAATATATATAACAATCTGATGTATAACTTTTAAATTAAACATAAATTCTATCTTAATTAATGATATATGTAATTAGATATATTTGTGAGGAATGCATAGAGTTAATGAGAAGTTAAGTTCAACTTGATACAAATATAATCTAATTCTATTTAGAGTAAATTGTATAGAAAAAAAAATGATTAATTAGGTTTGTTACAAAGAAAAGAAAAAAATGCTCAACAAGGGAGGAGAGAGATTTGATGATGTAAAACAAATTCAACTTTTAATACCTTCCCTCACGCTCGGCGTGAAGGGCCAGAGTCCACTTAATCACCTCTCCAAACAAATGTGATTCTTATACCATGATAAAGTAAGCTTGTGTCATGCACGCTCCCGAGTATTCCCTATCTCGTCGGATCCAGGTGTTCCGAGAGACTCAGGATCTTGAAAGGAGAGTGAATTTTTTGAAAACAGTTTACAAAACTTCATTCATAAAACTTTCATGACTGTAGTACAACTCAAAATATAATTATGAAAGTGTAAACATTAGAAATCATACATAAAAACATTGTATCAGAGTGTTCTAGTATGTACAAACATCATGTCGATGATCATGCATCTGTGGCAACCTAAAGCGTGTAGCATGTGCCTCACGTGCCCTGTATACAATCTAGGGAAAAACATAAAATAGTGAGCTATGAAGCCTAGTGAGTGGATAATACAATTTATAAATGAAATAACTTCAACCTCAAACTTGCATGAGAAAACACTTGCATTTCACGCAACACGTAACCATTCCCTTAGTGAGACCACACTTTCCTTGTATAAATTCCGAACATGATAAATCCTTAATTCATCTCCAGTCATGCCAACAAGTAAATCCGCATCCTTGTACAAACTTTCCATTTACCATAGATCATCATACTATTTTCACAATATCGATACACCCATCATCAAAGCTGAGTAGGCATTTCCCAACACTAACCCACTCTTACTCACACCAATGCCCGTCAAGTGTCCATAGTTTATACTCAACCTTTACCCTCTAGATATTCATAAATTCCACCCAAGCCTATACGTGCTGGGTGTCCTCAAATTTCACTCATTCAAGTAATGCAACCACTACCACCACTAAACTAATATCCAGGGTCCCTAATACAGACAACCAACTAGGCCACCCATAGTTTATCCTCAGGTTGGCACCATCCACAGTCTATCCCTGGGATGACTAAATCATCTCAGGGTAACCATACTCGACCCATATTCTATCCTTGGGGTGTCATGATATGGTACCATATAAAAGAATCCTTGTCCTCGGGGCATCATGCATCAATATCTCACCCACAGTCTATCCTTAGGGTGTAATCCTACTTGGAGCTCACCAGGCAGCCGTCTTGTCCCGATAGGATGGTATAAATTGTCATTTTTCGATAGTATGGGTCATCTCAATGCACGCATGAGTCTAATCATATCCCACTCAGGCCAATATCTGTCTGGTGTCATTCGTCAAATCCCTCCCAAGGTATATCATCGAGTATCATAATCCACTCAAGCTAATACTCGTCTGGTGCAATCTGTCAAATCCTACCCAAGGTTTATCCTTAGGGTATCAAGTCATAATATCCCACCCATAGTCTATCCTCGGGATGACATACTCTCATTGCGCACATGAGGTCAAATATACAAATGCTAGTTGATGTCTGGATGGGGATGGGTACTATAACAAGGGTGATCTTCAATCCACACATAACATATCTTTTCACTCCAACCTAAACACATCTTCACACATTCACCTGGATATTCGACACAACACACTCCACGAACACTTTTATGTCAAAGTATGTAAATATGAGAACAACAGTCGAAACATTCCAAACACATAACATCATGCAAAATATCCATTTACATCCTATAATTGTTCTTTATTTAATTAGTCCCCAAGGTTTCACCTTGCAATTACCCCCCTGAGAGTCCTTCAATCAATTACAATTTAAATTAGGACTCAAAACCTGGTCAACACAATTTTGGGCTTTATTAATAATGATAGACCAACCCACTAATTCACATAAAACTCCAACAATATAATATGGCCTTTTTTTTTTTTTTTTTAATTCCATCAAACCCACCAATTTAATTAAACCCAACAGTCTAACAATCAAATACGCCTTAAAATAGTAGTAGACCAGCCCACCATCACAAAATGAACCCAACCAATTTAATCTCGGTCTCCTATAAGTTAGACCAGCCCACCAACTAAGCAAGTCTACCAACATAATTAACCTACTAATACAATTAAGCTCATTAACTCCATCAAGCCCACAAATTCACTGAACACAATCTGGGACTTATTAACAACCGGCCGACCCACTTAACCAATTTAAACCCATCAACACCATCAAGCCCATTAATTCAATTAAACCCATTAGCACCATCAAGCCCTTTAATCCCTTAATAAATCTAATTACCCAACTAATTGGGCCTTAATAATAATAATCGGCCCACCTCAACAATAAACCCATTAGCCCAAACCCAACGTTTCTATGCCGTGGCAGCTAAATTCCTCGCCGCAGCGCAACTCTCACTATAAAATTCCTCGTCACTCCGAATTCTTCAAGCGGTGGACGGCGGTGGAACTTTTCCTTCTCTACGGCGCAACAACGATTTCACCCAATTTATGGATTTTTCTCAACCCAAGCAATTCAATACTCATCTCCTCACTCTATAAAAACTTTTCCCTCATCAAATCTACTCTAATATACCTTCACCCAATTTGTATTGTCATGATCTTTCATGCGTATTTGTTATTAGTTTTTGTGAAATTTAATTTCTGACTAATTACTAATTAAGTTACATTATAGTTTGTAATAGCTCTATCTGTTGGTGTCCCCTTGCTTGATGCTTACTTGAATCTGAACTCATCACACAATTATGGCCATGGAGTGAATTTTGCAGTTGCTGGTTCAACTGCTTTACCTGTGAATGTTTTATTAAAGAAAAAGGTTTTCGCCCTATTAACCAACTCTTCTCTCACTATACAGCTTGACTAGATGTCTACCTATTTCAATGAAACCTTTCACAATGATAAAGGTTACTGTCATGAGAAACATAAACAATCTCTGTTCATGGTCAAGGAGATTGGAGGAAACGACTACAATTATGTACTGTTTCAAAGCAAAACTCTTGAGGAGGTCAAGGCCATGGTACCTGATGTTGTCCAAGCCATAGTGTTGCCACTGCAAGTCTTCTTCTTTCACTCCTCATAATAGTCTGTGTTATTATTAGAATTTCTCATTAATGGTACATATTGTTTAACTGGTTAATTTGTAAATTGGTTGCAGAGAGTTATCGAGAATGGAGATTGTAAACTTATTGTTCCAGGAAACTTTCCAATTGGCTGCTTCCCAATCCATCAAACTGCCTTCCAAACCAATGACTCTACTGCTTATGATGAGCTTCATTGCCTAAAGGGGTTGAACAATTTGTCAATGTATCACAATGAGCGCCTTCAACAAGCCATTCAAGAACTCAAACTAAAACACCCTGACATCGCTATTGTATATGGCGATTATTACAATGTATTCTCGTGGCTTCTGTGCCATGCTCATTTGCTTTGTAAGTTTATTAATTAATCTCTTTTACATCTCTTAGTTATATCATGAAAATGCTAAAAAAATATTAGGAAACTTACAAAATTATGTATAAAATTGAACAGGTTTTGATGTTAAATCAGTGCAAAAAGCTTGCTGCGGAGTTAGAGGTGAATATGATTTTAGTCTAACAAGAATGTGTGAAGCTCCTGACGTTCCAGTTTGTGGAAATCCCCATGAACAAATCAGTTGGGATGACATTTATTTGACGCAGAAGGCTTATAAGATCATGGCATCATGGCTCATTTTTCACATCTTTCCAAAGCTTCAATGTTTTCAACACTGGTTTTAGTTTTGTAGGCTAACTAGTTAATTTTCTTCATTAGACGACTTTGTTAGTGATGATAGGGATTATTTTTACTTAAAATAATTTTTTAAGGAATTAAGTTGTTAATTTTGATCTTAACAAAAAGAATTTTCTTTATAGTGTTACATATTCATATCTATTTTCCTAGCTTAATCAGTTTATATTCAGTCCTAAACTCATAGTTAAAGTACAAAACTGATTGTGAAAAGGATCTCTAAAAAAAAAAAAAGAAACCATTGTCTTGATCGGACTAAAACTGCAACGTAGAGTAGAAATCGAAATCTTAATCTTTCCACTATATAATAACACATGCATGAGGCTTTCATTTCAAAAATTTACTATAAATTTTTTCATCAATACATAGCTAAAGCTGCGTAGTTATTCATCTTCTTTGTTTGATTTGATAGCGTTAATTATTATGGCTAAGAATTTCAACTTCGTGGCCTACTCTCTTCTTCTTACTCTTTTTTCTCTCTTTCTTCTTGATCTCTTTTCTCTCTTTCTTCTTGCTCTCCACTCCATGCAACACTCACATTTTCAAAGCTTGTAAGTTCAACACCATATACCAACTCGGGGACTCGATTTCTGACACGGGCAATCTGATTCGCGAGAGCCCTCAATCCCCGTTTGCTCGGCTTCCCTATGGTAAACATCTTTGGCAAGGCTTCCCTATGGAGAAACCAAAACCATTATCATCCCTACACAATATCACCCATCAATCGTGCACGAGCAAGGGTGCTTGCGTGCAAGGCGCGTCCACGCTGGGAGGAAGGCGAGCGGCTGGGTGGGTGGAACACTGCAATAACAATATGCCTTGTAGATAAGAGGAAACTAAGAACAATAAACATCTGAAGAGGTTGCCGTGGAACGAAACTCGTTAATAACTAATCTTCAACTACTGATTGGCAAGTCCTTCATCTCTATGGAAGTTCATGCAATATTTGAGGTTTTTTTTTTTTTTTTGGCAGATCTCATTTGCTAATTTAGTTATATTTTCACTATCTACTAGTATTCTTATTTACTTCTTTGCAGTTAGGTGCCATTGTAGGAGCGCTGGCAAAACATAGTCTGTCTAAAGTGAGAGATATGGCGATAATTTCTCTTAGAAACCTGAGAAATAACATGTCAGATAACCTTCCGCCTGGCTACTAGTGCTAGAGCCTAGAAGAGCTCGCAACTCTTCTTCATGATAGCACTGTTCAGAACAAGAATCCTTAAGACTAATTGTAGGTTTTTTTTTATCATGTTTTTTTATTAATTTGTGATTGTTTTAGGCATAGTATAATTGAATTCAAACATAATTTTATGTGAAGAAGTGGCAACAAGTTGAAATTCCCAATTTGAAAATTACTATTTGAAGCTGATTTTTGGTCAATCCCGGTATTGAAAATCAACCCCGACACCACCATTCACCTCATCGGCTTCCACTCACCAAAACCCCTATCATTCTTACCCAAGATCACCCATTAGTCATGCACAAGCTAGGTCGCGTACACTCATGGCTAGGTGGGTGGAATGCCGCATTAGCAATGCCTTGCAAATAAGAGGAAACAGAGAACAACAAAAATTTGAAGAGGCTGCCATGGAAGAAACTCGTTAATAACTAATCTTCAACTTTTGATTGGCAACATCTTTATGGAAGTTCATGCAATATTTGAGGTATTTTTTTTTAATTTTTTTTTTTTTTTTGGAGATCTCATTAGATAAATTAATTCTGTTTTCACTACTCACTAGTATTCTTATTTACTTCTTTGCAGTTAGGTGCCATTGTAGGAGTGCTGACAAAGCATAGTTCATCTAGGATGAGAGACATAGTGGTAATTGTTCTTAGAAGCCTGAGAATTAATACACTAGGAACCCATTGCCCAACCCTAACCAGGACTGGAACCTAGAATAGCTTGCAGCTCCTCTTCATGGAAGCCCCATCCATAACCTGAATTTTGAAGACTAATTGTAGGTTTCTTTTTTTATCACTTTAGATTTGATTATACATATGAAAATTATTTTTCTTTTAAGATTACATTGTTAGAAATTGTATTTGTCCCACACACTAATTTGATAGGTTGTTATGATGTATATATGTGGTTAACTCCTTCCTAGTTCAGCTAGCTTTTAAGCTTGTGTTATACTCAAGCTCACTTTATCATGATATCAAAGTCACGTTTATTTGGACCCAGCCTTACATGTTGAGCGTGAGTCAGGTGTTAGAAGCCAATTTGGTAGGCTGTGTTAAGCATAAGAAAGGGTGTTAGAAGTTGTATTTGTCCCACATCACTAATTTGGTAGGAGCATGAGGAAGGGTGTTAGAAATTGTATTTGTCTCATATCACTAATTTGGTAGGAGTGTGAGGGAAGGTGTAAGAAGTTGTATTTATCTCTTATCGCCAATTTAATAGGCTGTTATATATATATATATATATACTTATAACTGAGTCATACAATCATGCATACAATCAGATAAAAAAACATAGGATAGAGTAATTATTTTACATAAATTTTATATAATTTTTATCTGATTGAATGACTTAATTGTAAATATAATTATTCATATGGTTGGACTCCGTCCTGCTTTTAAGTTATCTTTTGAGTTCAACTAAGCCCATTTATCATGCTACATGTGATTATGTTTTTTCTTTATAAAAATCTATCTTTCTCAAGTTCACCTCAATCTATCTTTATATTAAACTGTTGAAACTTCAAAGTCCTTTTAAAGATGGCGCCGCCGGGTTTCTTCCAATAATGATACAAATTTGACACAGGAGACTAATTATTTATTCAAATAATTACACCAAGTCAATGAACAGTCATATCAAAACCTAATGCTTTTGTTAAATATTATATTCTTTTTCAGCACCTAAAAAAGATGTTATAAATACTTGGAAATAAAATCAAAGTAGTCCAGAAGAAAGAACAAAGTAGTTGTAATCCAATTGTTGAATGATATATTCAAACCTAAATTAAATAATTCAATTAATTAAGAGCAGAAAATCACACCCCTCAATTGATCAAGCTTTATATATCTGCATATTTGCTTTGAGATTTCAACAACTCTCCATGGCAAATCCAAGTTTCTTTGTTGGAGTAATAGGTAAGCAATTAAGTTTGTATATATGTTCTCCATGAAATAATGTTGATTACAGTTTAAAGATGTTTCTTAATTTGGTTTGATAATTTCAGGCAACATCATCGCAATGTTACTCGCTCTTTCTCCAGTGTAAGAATCAAACAAATTCATTTAGAAGAAGATTTTATTTGATTTAGCCTTCGTTGCTTAATCAAATATTCATTGACTTGCAGGAAAACCTTCTGGCGAATCCTGCAGAATCGATCAACTGAGGAATTTGAGAGCCTGCCTTATGTTTGTGCATTGCTGAACTCAATGTTATGGACATATTATGGCCTTACAAAATCTGGAGAAATACTCGTCGTCACTATCAATGCGTTTATTGTTATAGTTGAGACTGTTTACCTAATCATATTCCTAGTTTATGCTTCTCCAAGAATGAAGGTAAATAGTTTTAATCCACATCTCACGATCGATTATCATAATCTTACACATAGTGACCTTGATGAATATTATTGATCGATGCATGGTTTTATAATTATATTTTCAGGCTAAGACTGCATTACTTGTTGGGTTATTGGATGTAGGGTTTCCAGCAGCAGCAATTTTGATAATAGAATTGTTGTTGCATGGAGAAATGAAGATTGATGTACTAGGGTTCATTTGTGCCGTCCTCAGTATTATCATGTTTGGTTCCCCTCTTGTAGCTATGGTAAACTCCACGATCTTCTCTTTGCATATATAATGGATCATTGTGTAAAGGTTTATTATTAATATAAACAGTAGTTTATATATATATATATTGGTTGTTATTATGTAATAGAGAACAGTGGTGATGAGTAAAAGCGTGGAGTATATGCCATTTCTTCTGTCTTTGTTCGTCGCCTTAACTGGAGGGATTTGGACTTTGTATGCCGTGCTGGTGAAGGATCTGTTTCTAGCAGTAAGCTTTCTGAATTAAACATCCATTAAAGAATATGAAAACATTGACTTTCGTTAATTACAAAGATTAATTGACTATACAATAACGTAACGTGTTGAGATTGTTAAATAATTACAGGTACCAAATGGGGTGGGGTTTCTTCTTGGAGTAGCTCAGCTGGTGGTCTACGCCATATTCAGAAAACCCAACTCATCCAAAAGGTTGCCTGATGGTGATGACATTGAAGATGAATGGCAACACCAGCACCTCATCTCAGCTTCAATTCCAATACTTCAAAAGATTAAATCCTAGACACACACACGCACATGTATAGTATAGTATCATGAAAAAGAAAGTGAAAAGAAAATTTAGATACGATTCAATCATATTCTAGCTTTGAACATTGTTTTAATATAATGATTTGTCATTCTATCCGGAGTTATTATTATCATTTATCATATCAATAATCATTTTGTCGGTTGGAAAAATCATAGAAAGTCCCCTATTTTTGTCTGGTTCTGCCGATCAAGTCTAAGTCGAAGATGGAGATGGGGACTCGATCAGTAGAATCAGACTGAAAAAAGAAGAGGCCTCGTTCTATATTATTATCAAATATGAATATTGACAATTCATTTGAGTTAAAAAAAATTAAGGCTCCATTTGTTTTGTTATTCATATCTGTATTCTCAATCTTATTTTTAAAATATTTGTTTGTTTTATTATTTGAGAAATATTTTTTTAATTATTTTTAAACCCTTTAAGTTTATTAATTTCATTAAATACCTTTAGAAAAAGTTTAAAAATTAACAAAAACACCCCCACTCACCCATATTTGCTAGATTCTCGAAACCAGAGTCGGTGGTAGCCAGAATCTGACACAAAGGCCTACAAGCGATAGGAACTGGCCGGTAATTCACCAATCTGGCCTTTTTCGGCCAGATTCATAGTAGATCTGGTCAGAAAAGGCTAGATTTGGCCGTTGCTGACGACCAAATCTGGACTTTTACGATCGTCGATGGCCAAATCTGGCCATAGATCTAGCTTTTTCCGATCAGGTCCGTGGTGGATTTGGTCGGAAAAGGCCATATCAACGCCCTACCCGCCAGATTAGACCGGTCTACGTCGTAACGCCATTTTTCGGCCAAATTTCAGCTGTGGTAGCCAAAATTTGGCACTGTGGGTGGGTGGAGGTGTTTTTGTCATTTTATAAAATTTTTATATATTGGGGTGTTTAGTTAAATTAGCAAACCTAGAGGGTTTTTTTGTTAATTTTTAAATTTTACCTAGTAATACTCCCTATTTAACTACCCAATATTATTCCTAAAATCCTATCCAAAATAACAAAACAAGAGAACCCTAAGATTACGTAAACTGTCTCATTGATATATGTAACATTAATTTTTTTGGTTCTTGGTAGAGACCAAAACAATGGGCTATACAATCATTTTTCATTGAACTGGCTACACAGCCCATCTAACTGGCCCATCCCATCTAGTCCAGCCCATTCAAAGGCCCAGCCCATTCAAAGGCCCAGCCCAATTGACTTGCACACCAAACAGTATTAACATTTAACAGGTAACAGCACGTAAGAGGCCAAGACTTTGCGTTTGGTTTGCCTTAATGCCTTCAACTTCAACTACCATTCTCTTATACGACATACAGGTATACACAGGGAACAAAGATCAGACAACACAACAACTAAGAACACAAACCAATCACACAGAGATGGGTTCAGTTTCATTCTTCGCTCAAAGATTCAACTTTTCCGTCACAATTTTCAATCTTTCTATCATTTTCTTCATCTCCTGTTCACCATCTTTTGTTTCATCACAACTACAAAACTCGCTTCAAACAAAGCCAACGGCCTATGAGATGCTCCAAACCTACGACTTCCCAGTTGGTCTTCTCCCAAAAGGGGTTCTTGATTATGATCTTGAAGAATCATCAGGTAAATTCTCAGCCTTTCTAAATGGTTCTTGTAGTTTCTCTCTTGAAGGGTCATATCAACTCAAGTACAAGGCCACCATTAAAGGGCAAATTTCAAACGGGAAACTTGCAAACTTGGAAGGTGTTAGTGTGAAGCTTTTGTTCATGTGGGTTGATATTGTTGAGGTCTCAAGACATGGTGATAGTATTGATTTCTCTGTTGGGATTGCTGGTGCTGGCTTTCCTATTGATAATTTTGAAGAGTGTCCCCAGTGTGGATGTGGATTGAATTGCGGTAGTCAAGAAGTAAGGCAGAAGATGAGAAAAAGTGTATTTTTTTCTTCTTCTTAGTAGAGATTTGTGCTTAACATGATTTGAATTGTGGATCTGTGTTTAATTGTCATTAGATGCAATTGGATTTTGCTTAGTTTGATAAATTCTTATTTTTTGTTGAATAATTTCATCATCCATGGGCATTGTGATCACTTTTATGATCAAATTGTAACTAATATGAGGAACTTTCAACTCCACTTTTGATTGATCTGTGATTACAACTTTTTGCCTTTAGCATTGCTAGACAGGTCTAGTAGGGTTAAGAATGTGTGAGAGTTGTTTACTTATATTTCAAAGTAATATTTGTTTAAAGTTTTCATTGTGAAAAGTTTTCTGAAAAAGTAGTGAAATTTAAGAATATGGTTCTCAGGTTTGATTATTTGGACACCAAAGTACAGGACTTCTTTCCATTTGTTGTGTGGAACAAAACTGTTTAGCTAAGATCAGGTGAAATTGATATAGGATGATTGGTTGTAAATTTAGAATTGATGCATGTCTTACTAGAAAACGAGGCGCATTGTACCAGAATTTTGGATCATGCTAAATTTTGATTAAACTGCAGGCTCTGACGTGTATCTTTAATGTTTGCTCACTGCCTTCAATCATCATCAGAATGATGTTTTCTATGGGCAAGAACAGAATGACTTGGAAACAACCAACAGTTTGTATGCTGTTAGTTTGAATCTGCTATTATTGCTTTTGTTTGCATGCACCTGCTTGTATTTTGATTGTCTGTATTTTTGGGGATGAAAATTATGGGGGTTTTATTGTAATTTCTCCATTATTATCTTTCCACCTTCCAGTACCGTGAGTAGCTGAGATTGATTCTCTACAAAGATTGCTAGAAAACGGATAAACCCATGTAAAAAATGATTAATAAAGCTTATCTTTTTATGGCTGGTCATAATCAATTGCTTTGAGTAGGGTTGAATACAGTGGGGAGTTAAATGTTTTCCTGTTCATCATGAAGACCAAGTTAGATTTTTAAAAGTTCTCGGTAACTTTTGAAAGACTAGCATTTTCCATTTTCTGGGCATTAAACTTGTTAGAACTTGTATGCTTGGTTTTTTTAAGACTATTTTCTGAAATTACTGGATGAAAAAACAAGATGCTGGTAAGTGCCACGGTAATACTGCAGATCCTCTGCTTTTTTGTATTGGAGTCATATAGTTGTTGATATATAAGACTGTCCATATAGTGCCACAAAATTGATGTAGATTAATTGCTTGACATGTAACTAAGAGCAATATGCATAACTTATTTGTGATTCTGTTCATCATAATTCAGACCTCAGTATTGAATATCACTCCAGTTATAGTTTACCTAGACTTTGGCATAAAATACTAACTTGCATTTAAAGTTTGATCTTGTGATGTCCTTTTCTTTTTTTCCATTTTTCCCCCGCCCTTAAGAATATAAGGTTAGAACACAGTTTGAAACAGTAAGGATCTTGTTTGTGGAATCATATTATATAATAGGATTTGTAATTTTATTTTTTTTTTTGGGGATATTAATGAGCATAAAACTGACCGTGTTTTTAATAGTTTGCTTTAGGTTCAAAGTTTATATTAGGGCCATATCTTCACTTTCCTGTCCTACATAAAGCATGACTCTATAACTTTCTTTTTTTAAGATTAGAATGTGCCATCTTTTTAGAGAGGGTTACTTTACTCATATGTAGCGCATGACAAGGAAAAAAGACCACAGCTGAACTTATTGGAATATTCCTTACGCCATGGTATGATCTTGTCTCTGTGTTGGGTTTCTCTTGTGTTTTTCATGACCTTTGTTCTCCCAAGTAGGCCGTAGCAAATGTATGCACGTGATTTAATTTGTTACGCTAGTGTGTGACACCCATAGGGCCTACTTCAGGGGAAAATATGATGTTAGGTATTTAAAAATATATATATATATATCGTTTTGTTGAGAGCTGTATGTCTAGTGATAGAATGTATTTAGGACAGAGTGAATTGCATTGCCTCAGTAATCAAAAGAGTCCTTGTGGGGGGGACTATAAATTAATTTGTTTGAAGATGTTTATTTACCATAATCTAATGGTTAATTTGAGAGCCTGTGTGCATGCTATCATGGTGGTGATCTTCGAATATTGTTGAGAGTGATTAGTAAGGGACATACTAGAGGCAATTAAATGAAACGCCTGACCATAATAGGAGTGATGCTTACTGGACTGAAATCACTGGAACTGTGGGAATCATTAATTAGCTAGAGCTTTACATTCTTCTGTAGAACATAATCACAGAGATGAAAACTACAGTGCTAATCTCCCCAGATTATTATGTGGGGATGTTTGTCCTTCCTCTAGTAAGGTTGTAACACTATCCCTAGCTATCAGTTGCAAGCTGTACATATGATCATTCCAAATGCATCTATGATACTGGTATAATCACGCCGGGGTAGTTAATACCATTGGATAAAGAAAAAGCAGTTACTCATCATTATCCAATGGACAAAACATTTCTAGTATTTATACAAATCTGGTATTATAGAATTTTCTTCTATCTTGATTTGAAGGCTCCTGTGTGTTCATGCAGAATTTCAATGGCTTTGTCATCAATTGTGCCCCAAATGTACCATGGAACATCTAATTTGGTATTTCAATAATGTTTTGTTACAATCGAGTCATACGATCAGATAAAAATTACACAAAATTCATATAAAATGATTACTTTATCCTTTATTTTTTATCTGATTATATAACTCAGTCGTAAATATACCATTGCTCTTTGTTATTTTTCATTTGCTGCTTGGATAGCACTGAAGCCATAAATCAAGCCCAAGAGCAAGTAATTTCAGTCTCTCATGGCAAATAAAGAAATGAATATGGTTACTCTTTGTATGGTGCTTACTGGTAACTTGCAACACAAACAGAACGGAAAGTATTTTATCTGGCGTGTGTTGCATTGCAGCACCAGCCCACCACAAGATATACTGTTCTGCATTTTGCTCAGCCTAAGTTTGACTTTGAGAAATATTGCAAGTGGATAACACTACAATACTGAGGGGCATTTTCATATTGCAAACGATGTCTATATTTATTACCTACCATAAATGTAGTTTACTTAAAGTTGTTGCAAAAGTACTCACTGTTCTGTCGGCTGATGTCTTTGGTCTAATAAATTGCTTTGACAATAGTAAGGTTCCATTCAACTTTGGCTGTGTGCTTCATTCTGGTATATTCCCTGCTCCAAAAGATGCATCACTTTCTAATCAAAATATAGCTATTTAAAACTGAAAGATCGGTCGGACATATGGTTTGTTTTTGTGGTTTCTCGTTTTTCAAAGTTCAATTGAGGTTTCAGTTTTGAATTCGGTCCTTTGGTTTGTTATTACGATACTTTTTAGAATAATATTTAAAAAAAAGTTAAATTAGGCGGGTATTATGATATAAGATTTAGAAATTAACAAAAATATCACATATGTTTGTTTATTTACTGAATACCCCTATAATAAAATATTAAAAGTTAACAAAAACACTCGTGAAATTCACCCATTAAATACGGACAGTTAGAGACCACCGTTAGAGGGTGGTCGGAGTCATCGTATCGGCGCATGATCAGCTGGATTTTGCCGGTCATGCATCGATATGACTTTTTTTGACCAGATTCACAAACAAGGGTAGATTTGACCATTGATAGCCAGATTTGGCCGTCGTTGACGACTGGCTACGGTCGTAAATCTGACATTTTTCAGTCATATCTATCATGGATCTGGTTAGAAAAGACTAGATCGGTGCACTACTGACCAGATTCAATCGGTAGTGCGTCATTATACCAGATTTTGGTTAACTTCTAACAATGATGGTCGGAATCTGGTAAATGTGGGTTCTTAAGATGCTTTTGTAATTTGTAAAAAAAATATTTGAAGGTTGTTTAGTTAAATTAACAAATTAGAAAGGTTTAAAAGAAATTGAATAATATATAATAATATTTTAAGAATAAATCAATTTTACGATTTAATTTTATTAGAATACTAATAAATATTCCCAAAAGAGTGTAACAAAAGCCTTTGTATTCCTAAAGCGAGATAAACATATTTATCTTATTATAATGACAAACCCTTTAAATTTTAAGATTTAAAATGAGTAGTTCACTGTTTACCTTGAAGGAAACATCTTGAAGGAAGCATCAAAATAACTAAATATATTATTATTCAATCAAATATACTATTTTATTCAAAAATAATTATTTTAATAACATTAAAAATGTAAAACACTTTTAATTGGATCATAATTTCAATTATTCACTTAATTAATCAAGACTTTAATATTAATGTATTATAAATATATTAAAGCTTTTAATATGGTGTAATTTATATGTAATAAATATAATTGTACTCGTATATTTATTTAATTAGGTTATTTTAAAATTTTAACTTTTTCTATTTAAATTTTTTTTATATGTAAAATAATAGAAACCCTCCATTATTCACATTTCACAAACATTTCATTGTAGTCCAGGTTCCAAAACAGGTTCCAAACAAGTTCAAAAACAAATTACAAAATAGGTTCCAAACAGGTTCCAAAACAGGTTCCAAACAAGTTCCAAACCGGGTACCCCCTACAGGTTCCAAACAGGGTACCTTTTTTACAGGTTCCGGTTCCTCCACACACAAGAATCGGAACTGGAACTGAAACCTACCCACACAGTACCAGTTCCAGGTAGGTTTCGATTCCGGTTCTACCCCCCGGTTCCGGTTCTACCTGCTACCCGTGCTCACCCCTAGCGCCAGGATGTTGATGCGAATTTTCACAGTAGCTAAAGCGCTGAAATGAAGACACAAGTCAACTAGAGGTACTCGGTTGACTCCGGAGAGAACCTACTAAGATGGGTGTGTGATTATTGGGAATCAGCATGAGGGACCCATGTCCCATGTGGTGGTGATCAAGGTGGTAATGTGCCTGATCTCGAGAAATGATGAGACAATTAGACATTTTTA